AATAGTTGGGGAGAGATGTATTGCAATGAGATCTGCACTGAAATACATCCAGTGGAGTCCAGAGGAGACATTGGCGGTCTTTTAGACCCGGCATGTCTCATTAAAGAGAACCTGTTACCTAAAAATCATCACAGAAGAGACTTTGTGTCCTCTATGTAACGAAAACAAAATAGGTTAAGAAAAATAAATTATTTTTTTTTGCAAAAAATAAAATTACACCAAGCACATAACATCCCCCAAAAATATTTTGAGGCCCCCCCTCACATATACGCACGTATGAGCATAAACGCACACGCCAGGGGTGCGTGTGAAAAACTTCGATTGCGATGCATGTGTTCCATATCGCCGCCCACACCAGAGTAAGAGCACACTGATCTGCGGCAAAACTGCGATTTTGCTGCATTTTTTACCCACTTCTATACCGGGCACTTTCACCCCCCTCCCCCGCAAGGCCAATTTTCAGGTTTCAGCGCTCTCATGCTTTGAATAACAATTGCGCGGTCATACAACATTGTACCCAAGCTAAATATTTTTTTATCATTTTGTTCACACAACTAGAGCTTTCTTTTGGTGGTATTTAATCACCGCTGGGGTTTTTATATTTTACTAAATTAACAAAAAAAAAACCAAGTTTTTCTTCCTTTTTGTTACACAATTTTGTAAATAAATAAATGTTCTTTATAAATTTAGGCCGAGATGTATTCTGCTACATTTCTTTGGTGGAAATGACCCAAATCAGTATTTATTATTTAGTCTGTAGGAAAGTTATAGAGTTCACAAACTATGGGATATATCTGAAAATTGATCAATCCTGAAGTACTGACAGCCAATATCATTTCTTGAGGCCCAAAAATACCAGAACAGTACAGATATCCCCCAAATGTCAGGACGGTACAGATATCCCCCAAATGTCAGGACAGTACAGATATCCCACAGATGTCAGGACAGTACAGATATCCCCCAAATGTCAGGACAGTACAGATATCCCCCAAATGTCAGGACAGTACAGATATCCCCCAAATGTCAGGACAGTACAGATATCCCCCAAATGTCAGGACGGTACAGATATCCCCCAAATGTCAGGACGGTACAGATATCCCCCCAAATGTCAGAACGGTACAGATATCCCCCAAATGTCAGGACGGTACAGATATCCCCCCCAAATGTCAGAACGGTACAGATATCCCCCCAAATGTCAGAACGGTACAGATATCCCCCCACATGTCAGGACAGTACAGATATCCCCAAATGTCAGGACAGGACAGATATCCCCCAAATGTCAGGACGGTACAGATATCCCCCAAATGTCAGGACAGGACAGATATCCCCCAAATGTCAGGACAGGACAGATATCCCCCAAATGTCAGGACAGTACAGATATCCCCCGAATGTCAGGACAGGACAGATATCCCCCAAATGTCAGGACGGTACAGATATCCCCCAAATGTCAGGACAGGACAGGACAGATATCCCCAAATGTCAGGACAGGACAGATATCCCCCAAATGTCAGGACAGGACAGGACAGATATCCCCCAAATGTCAGGACAGGACACATATCCCCCAAATGTCAGGACAGGACAGAGATCCCCCAAATGACCCCTTTTTGCAAAATAGACAGTCTGAGGTATTTAGTAAGAGGCATGGCGAGTTTTTTTAAGTTGTAAGTTTTTGTCATAATTTTTGGAAAATGAAGAAATTAACAAAAAAAAAACAAACAAACCAGTGCAGTACAACATCATCATGTGACTGGTGTGGTGGTGATCAGGGACACTGACTGGTGACCGTACGGGGAAAAAAAATAAAAATATTTTTTTATTATTATTATTTATTATTTTATATTACTTTTTTTTCACGATTTTTTTTATTCCATAACACAGTGACCAGAGTAGTATAATGTTGCTATAGTTACATGGAAGACGTCTCTACAAATCTCCTTCCACAAGGCAGCAGTCTCTAGAAGTCTCCTGTCACATGGCAGCAGTCTCTAGAAGTCTCCAGTCACATGGCAGCAGTCTCTAGAAGTCTCCAGTCACATGGCAGCAGTCTCTAGAAGTCTCCTGTCACAAGGCAGCAGTCTCTAGAAGTCTCCTCTCATAAGGCAGCAGTCTCTAGAAGTCTCCTGTCACATGGAAGCAGTCTCTAGAAGTCTTCTGTCACATGGCAGCAGTCTCTAGAAGTCTCCTCTCATAAGACAGCAGTCTCTAGAAGTCTCCTGTCACATGGAAGCAGTCTCTAGAAGTCTCCTGTTACATTGAAGAAGTCTCCTGTCACATGGAAGCAGTCTCTAGAAGTCTCCTGTCACAAGGCAGCAGTCTCTTGAAGTATCCTGTTATATTGGCAGCAGTCTCTAGAAGTCTCCTGTCACATGGAAGCAGTCTCTAGAAGTCTCCTGTCACATGGCAGCAGTCTCTTGAAGTCTCCTGTTACATGGCAGCAGTCTATAGAAGTCTCCTGTCACATGGCAGCAGTCTATAGAAGTCTCCTGTCACATGGCAGCAGTCTCTAGAAGTCTCCTCTCATAAGGCAGCAGTCTCTAGAAGTCTCCTCTCATAAGACAGCAGTCTCTACAAGTCTCCTGTCACGTGGCAGCAGTCTCCGGTGTCATGGCAGCAGTCTCCGGTGTCGTGGCAGCAGTCTATAGTAACATGCTTCTTTTTCTGACGTAATAGTTTTTGCCTTGTAAAGTGTCTGCAGTGATGCCTGCCTGTGACTGGGGACTGTTTGTTGCCCTCTGCCTAGAAGCGGGAAGCGTTCTGCCAACTGCTGCAGCTGATGAAGAACAAGCACTCTAATCAGGACGAGCCGGATATGATCTCAGTCTTCATCGGGACCTGGAACATGGGTGAGGCGGGGGTGGTGACACCCATGTACAGAACGGCACCCAATATTATTCGTTTAAACACAAAATCTTATATAGAACAACTCCCCCTACTGGCCATTGTATTGTATCTCATATAGAACAGCTCCCCCTACTGTCCATATATCATATCTCATATAGAACAGCTCCCCTACTGTCCATATATCATATCTCATATAGAACAGCTCCCCCTACTGTCCATATATCATATCTCATATAGAACAGCTCCCCTACTGTCCATATATCATATCTCATATAGAACAGCTCCCCCTACTGTCCATATATCATATCTCATATAGAAACAGCTCCCCCTACTGTCCATATATCATATCTCATATAGAACAGCTCCCCCTACTGTCCATATATCGTATCTTATACAGAACAGCGCCCCTACTGTCCATATATCGTATCTTATACAGAACAGCTCCCCTACTGTCCATATATCGTATCTTATACAGAACAGCTCCCTCTACTGTCCATATATCGTATCTTATACAGAACAGCCCCCTACTGTCCATATATCGTATCTTATACAGAACAGCTCCCCTACTGTCCATATATCGTATCTTATACAGAACAGCGCCCCTACTGTCCATATATCGTATCTTATACAGAACAGCCCCCCCTACTGTCCATATATCGTATCTTATACAGAACAGCGCCCCCTACTGTCCATATATCGTATCTTATACAGAACAGCTCCCCTACTGTCCATATATCGTATCTTATACAGAACAGCGCCCCCTACTGTCCATATATCTTATCTTCTACAGAACAGCTCCCCCTTACTGTCCATATATCGTATCTTATACAGAACAGCTCCCCCTACTGTCCATATATTGTATCTTATACAGAACAGCTCCCCCTACTGTCCATATATCGTATCTTCTACAGAACAGCTCCCCCTACTGTCCATATATCGTATCTTATACAGAACACAGCTCCCCCTACTGTCCATATATCGTATCTTATACAGAACAGCACCCCTACAGTCCATATATCGTATCTTATACAGAACAGCTCCCCCTACTGTCCATATATCGTATCTTATACAGAACAGTGCCCCCTACTGTCTATATATCGTATCTTATACAGAACAGCTCCCCCTACTGTCCATATATTGTATCTTATACAGAACAGCTCCCCCTACTGTCCATATATCGTATCTTATACAGAACAGCTCCCCCTACTGTCCATATATCGTATCTTATACAGAACAGCTCCCCCTACTGTCCATATATCGTATCTTATACAGAACAGCCCCCCCTACTGTCCATATATCGTATCTTATACAGAACAGCTCCCCCTACTGTCCATATATCGTATCTTATACAGAACAGCGCCCCCTACTGTCCATATATCGTATCTTATACAGAACAGCTCCCCCCTACTGTCCATATATCGTATCTTATACAGAACAGCGCCCCCTACTGTCCATATATCGTATCTTATACAGAACAGCTCCCCCTACTGTCCATATATCGTATCTTATACAGAACAGCGCCCCCTACTGTCCATATATCGTATCTTATACAGAACAGCTCCCCCTACTGTCCATATATCGTATCTTATACAGAACAGCTCCCCCTACTGTCCATATATCGTATCTTATACAGAACAGCTCCCCCTACTGTCCATATATCGTATCTTATACAGAACAGCGCCCCCTACTGTCCATATATCATATCTTATACAGAACAGCTCCCCCTACTGTCCATATATCGTATCTTATACAGAACAGCTCCCCCTACTGTCCATATATCGTATCTTATACAGAACAGCTCCCCCTACTGTCCATATATCGTATCTTATACAGAACAGCACCCCCTACTGTCCATATATCGTATCTTATACAGAACAGCTCCCCCTACTGTCCATATATCGTATCTTATACAGAACAGCTCCCCCTACTGTCCATATATCGTATCTTATACAGAACAGGGGTCCCCCCTGTCCATACTTATACAGAACAGCTCCATACTGTCCATATTCGTATCTTATACAGAACAGCTCCCCCTACTGTCCATATATCGTATCTTATACAGAAAACAGCTCCCCCTACTGTCCATATATCGTATCTTATACAGAACAGCTCCCCCTACTGTCCATATATCGTATCTTATACAGAACAGCTCCCCCTACTGTCCATATATCGTATCTTATACAGAACAGCTCCCCCTACTGTCCATATATCGTATCTTATACAGAACAGCCCCCCTACTGTCCATATATCGTATCTTATACAGAACAGCTCCCCCTACTGTCCATATAACGTATCTTATACAGAACAGCTCCCCCTACTGTTCCCATATATCGTATCTTATACAGAACAGCTCCCCCTACTGTCCATATATCGTATCTTATACAGAACAGCCCCCCCCCCCCCCTACTGTCCATATATCGTATTCTTATACAGAACAGCCCCCCCTACTGTCCATATATCGTATCTTATACAGAACAGCGCCCCCTACTGTCCATATATCGTATCTTATACAGAACAGCTCCCCTACTGTCCATATATCGTATCTTATACAGAACAGCGCCCCCTACTGTCCATATATCTTATCTTATACAGAACAGCTCCCCCTACTGTCCATATATCGTATCTTATACAGAACAGCGCCCCCCTACTGTCCATGTATCGTATCTTATACAGAACAGCTCCCCCTACTGTCCATATATCGTATCTTATACAGAACAGCTCCCCCTACTGTCCATATATCGTATCTTATACAGAACAGCGCCCCCTACTGTCTATAACAGTCATGGCCGAAATTGTTGGCACCCCTTGATATTTCTCCAGGAAATCATGTATTTCTCACGAAACGTATTGCATTAACACATGTTTTGCTATACACATGTTTATTCCCTTTGTGTGTATTGGGGACAAAACAAAAAAAAAGGGAGGAAAGAAAGCAAATTCGACATAATGTCACACAAACCTCCAAAAATGGGCTGGACAAAAGTATTGGCACCCTTTCACAACTGCGGATAAAATAAGAATGTTACAAGCATGTGATGCTCCTGTAAACTCACCTGGGGCAAGTAACAGGTGTGGGCAATATAGAAATCACACCTGAAAGCAGATAAAAAGGAGCAGACGTTCACTTAAAAACCTTTGCATTGTGTGTCTGTCTGTGCCACACTAAGCATGGACAACAGAAAGAGGAGACGAGAACTGTCTGAGGACCTGAGAAACCAAAATTGTGGCAAAATATCAACAATCTCAAGGTTACAAGTCCATCTCCAGAGAACTTGATTGCCTTTGTCCACAGTGCGCAACATTATCAAGAAGTTTGCAACCCATGGCACTGTAGCTAATCTCCCTGGTCGTGGACGGATGAGGAAAAATTGATGAAAGATTGCAACGCAGAAATAGTCCGGATGGAGATAAGCAGCCCCCCAAAATGTTCCAAAGACCATTCAAGCTGTCCTGCAGGCTCAGGGAA